TTTTGGTTTGTCGAGACAGGGTTTCTCTGTGTAACAGTCCTCCTGGCTGTACTGGAACTCACTCTGTAGACCAGGCTGGCCTCAAACTCACAGAGATCCTCCTGCCTCTGCCTCCCGAGTGCTGGGATTAAAGGCGTGCGCCACCACCAGCAGCCTTGTTCTGTCTTTAATACAGACACGGAGGGAGTTACCCATCACTCAGTTGATGTACATTTAAATTTCTCCCCCCTAGAGAGCTGGGGGGGGGCTATGACTGTTGAGGAGGCTGAGAAAGATGCCAAGGAAAGGAGTTGACACACATTAGCCTCAGACTTTGAGCTTTAGTCAGGGGGCGGGGTGTGTGTGTAGGGGGGTGTGGCACATGACCATGGCGGCCGTGGTCAGCCGTTCTGAAAGCATTTTGAGGGACAGGACATAATGCCAGAGGCAAGTGTGGATGGGGACAAGGTGACCCAACATTACAGATATAGTTAGCTTAAGGTGGGAGGCAATAGAGACACCCTGCAAACAGTGCGTGTGTGTGTGTGCGTGTGTGTGTGTGTGTGTACTCCCTTATTGTTAAGGTTTCCCTAGGCATGGGGCCTGGCCATAGCTCGATTCCAGTTTCTGCGGGGGCGGGGGAGGGGGGAATGACGGGGGACGACGACCACGATCCTTGGAGGGGTGAGGTTGGTGATGAAATGAAGAATGGGCAGACGCATGCACAGGAGGACAAGGACAAAGCGGGGCGGGGGCAGGCCTGGTCTTACTACATTCTTGCATGTGGTCTTCTGGGGGCTGTGGGTCACACATTTCTGTTGCTTCATCGCTGTTTGCTGATTTCAGATATTGCCGAGCAGCTGCCTGAAATGGTTCCCACCTGCAGCTCCAGCTCCTCCCCGCCCCCAGGGCTGGTGCTGCTGGACAGGAGAAGACCCGTTCTTCCCCACCACACGTGGAATATTTACCAAAACGAGCCACTCTAAAGGTAAGGCCAGGGCCAGGCTCTCTGACCATGTTACACTCAAGTTAAAGCACAGGAAGAACAGAAAACAGAAAAACAGGGAAAAAAACAAAGACTATATACGCAGAATTGCACACATGCGTATATGTGATATATAAGATATTGCTTTAAATGTTTACATTAAAAGAGAAGAAAAAAACCTCAAAATTAGTGACAAAGCATCCAGCTTTAGCCAGAAATGGCCCAGAAAGGAAAGAATAAGAGTAGCTAGAAAGATGGCTCAGAGGTTAAGAGCACTGGCTGCTCCTCCGGAGGTCCTGAGTTCAATTCCCAGCAACCACATGGTGGCTCACAACCATTTCTAATGAGATCTGGTGCCCTCTTCTGGCCTGCAGGGATACATGCAGGCAGAACACTGTATACATAATTAATAAATAAATAAATAAATAAATAAATCTGTCTGGCAGCCAGGTGTGATGGCACATGCCTCTAAATCCCAGCACTCAGGAAGCAGAGGCAGGCAGATCTGTGAGTTCGAGGTCAGCCTGCTCTACAGAGTGAGTTCCAGGACAGTCAGGGCAACACAGAGAAACCCCGTCTCATAAAAACAAAACAAAAATGAAAAGGACTGGTAATTTCTGAAGGCTGCAGCCCAGCTAACACTAAGCACACTGGCACTGGACTCCACCCTGTAGGTACCACATAAAACCAGGCAAAATGGCATCCCAACACTTGGGAGGAGCAGGCAGGGAGATGAGAGGTTCAATCAAGGTCATCCTTGGCTACACAGCAAGCTCACGGCCAGCCTGGGATCTAGGAGACCCTGTCAGAAGGAAGGAACAACTAACCCATGAAGAAACTGAGTGGCGGGCTGGTTGGCTCAGTGGGCAAAGGCCCTGGCTGATGACTGCAGCTCAGGCACAGAGACCCATGTGGTAGAGAGAGAAAACTCACTCCAACACCTTCCCTCTGATCTCTGCACCTCACCTCCCTCCTCTCCAACACCCTTCTTGCCCGCTCCCTACCCCACCCCTACCCCTAGGGCAGACAGTCCTGAGTGGTATAGTGGGCAGGGCAGGCCAGGGGAAGCAAACCAGCAGGCAATCTTCTTCCATGGCCTAGGTGCAGTTCCTGCCTCGAGTTCCTCTATTCGATTCCCTCAGTGTTGGAGCGTGACTCGGGAGTATGAGTGTGACAAGGGAGTGTGAGCATGACACTGAGTGTGAGCATGACACGGGAGTGTGAGCTTGACGCGGGAGTGTGAGCGTGACCCCTTAACTAGGACAGGTCAGAAACATAAATATTTAAAAGGCAGTTTGACTACCTTTGTTGTTAGCAAAACAACAGCCGAAGCCTCCTCTGTGACAGCCTGGGACCTCTGAAGCCACGGGCTTTTGCCAGGTTTATAGTGCCAAGCATGAATTCCCTCCTGTGGAGCAGGCCTCAGTCTTGGTTGCCCCTGTGACCTTCACGGCACTAGCGCACCTGTGGGCACGTCTTGACGGGCAGGTGGGTATGGTAGCGTGAACGGCTTGCTGTGATATCGAAGCCTTCCTCCTCGAATGCCTGCTCCATGAAAGCTAGGCGCCAGGAGGAAGGTCTCAGTTCAGTCTAGCTTGTGTGTTGAACTTTAAGGGAGTAGTCCATTCACTGACGTGTGGTTACCTCACAACATAGGTGTCCCATGGAAACACTCCTCCGTTCTCATGCAAAAATCAGTCTGACCCTGGCACGCTTCCAAGCCATACTGTGGTGTAAAACCATCCGATTTTGCGGAGCGGTGTACACAATGGCTCCTATTGTTTGTGCGCTTACAAATAAATGCCCACGTGTGAAAAAGAGCATAGATTGTGTGGGTCTAAGCTTGTACCATTACACAGTGTCTAAGTTCACAGACTCAGCAGGGAGGAGCACGAGGAGGGCTTCACTGGAGAAGGGGGTGACAGGCAGGAAGGAGGCATCGCAAGTCTTGCTTTATGAGACCTTGATGGTCGAGACCTTTCTACAGAGTTGGTTTTGACATATTTGTATAATTAAAATATTTTAAAGTGCTCTGAGACCCAGCCATCACTGAGATAATGTCTCGCAGACTAATGACATGGCATTATCCACCACCAGGGGTAATTGTCGTAAATGTGCCGAGTGGCTGTGGTCCCTGCATAAGACTGCACAAGCATAACCAGGTACTAGACAAGGTGACCTCACGCTTGCCTGTGGGCTGTGCACACTCCATTCTCCCTGGGGTAGACAGCTGCAAGCCAAACACAAGGGAGCAGGCCGCCCCACTCAACCGCGAGGGTTTGACATCCACCAGCGCATGCGGACTGACCACACAGCATAGCTCACGCTGCAGGTTCACCAGCTCAAAAAACCCACCTGTGGAAGAGAGGTCTGTGACCTCTGATATCTGTGGCCTCTGACACCACTACATTCTAGCTGGGTCCCGAATCCAGATAGACTGTCTCCTCTGTGCCCTGCTCAGGAAGGCAGAGACTTGAGCAGGGCACCTTCAAGGTTAACTCTCCCGTTCACCGCCTGGCTACACAAAAGCTTCCAAGAAAAGATGGGAATCCAGCAGGGCAGATCTGGCCTTCCGACTTCACAGGCAGCACCTTCTAGTGCCCACCTCCTCAGAGTCCCGGTACCACGCTTTTACTTTTGAAAACAGGGACTACTGTTTCCAACTAAACTAACAGTGATGCTGCCTCGAATGAAACCGAAGGCCTAATGAGCCGTTTTATCCCCAGGTCCTATAATGTTTTGATTTTCAAGGCTTATTTTTTAGTTTTACATGTATGAGTGTTTGTCTACATTCATGTATGTGTGCACCATATACATGGCTGGTGCCTGTGGAGGCTAGAAGCGGGTGTTGGACCCCAGGAACTGGAGTTACAGATGGTTTCGAGCTGACATGTAGCTGCTGGGAACTAAACCTAGTCCTCTGCAAGAGCTCTCTTGCTAGTCCCTCTAATTTCGGTTTTAAGCCACCTTAAACCTCCCACAAATTGAATTTAAAAAAAAACTTGCTTGTTTGAGTCAGGATCACCTTATGAAGCCCAGGCTTTCCTGGAACTCATGGCAATCCTCCAGCCTCAGTTGCCTGAATGCTGAAATTACAAGCATACATTCATGCTAGACCCAAATACTTTAAATTAAAAAGAGGCGATCCCATACAGGGCTGGAGAGATGGCTCAGAAGTTAAGAGCACTGGCTGCTCTTCCAGAGGACCTGGGTTCAATTCCCAGCACCCACATGGCAGCTCACAACTGTCTCTAACTCCAATACCAGGGGATCTGACACCCTCACACAGACATACATGCGGGCGAAACACTAGTGCACATAAAATAATAAGTAAGTTTTTAAAAAAGTGATCACATGCAAAATTGCCAAGTTTAGAATACAGCAGCAAGTTGCTGAGGCGTGCCAGGGAGGCAGGCAGCCGTGCCAGATTGCTTGTTTGGGAGGCTGGAGCCCAGCCCTGCAAGCCCAGGAATGGCGGTGGTGAGGCAGTGAGGGGGGAGGCCCCGGAGAAGGCGACAACGGTGCTTGTCTTAGGTTTCTGTTGCTGTGATGAAATGCCATGACCAAGGGAAGAAAGGGTTTATTTCCTTTATACTTCCGGGTCATGGTTCATCACCGAGGGAAGTCAGGGCAGGAATTGTAGCAGAAGCTCTGAAAGAACCCTGCTTGTAGCTTGCTAGATTGACCTCTTGTCAACTTGTCCCACAGACACATCACTGTAAAGCCATAAACATCCTTTCTTCCTCATCCCCAAGGTCTTACACCTAGAGTCGCAGTATAAAACAAGCCAGCTTTCCAAAGCCCCACATTTACAAACCCAGACACGTTAGGAGTTCAATCTCCTTAGACATCCGAAGTCTCTGTCAATGTTCAAGTCTCTCTAAAATATCCATAGCCTCTCTGAAACTCTCGTGTCTCAACTGTGGGTTCCTGCAAAACTCAAAATAAGTTCAACTCTTTCTTACTCCGAGAGGAGAACCAGGGCGCAGTCACAATCAGATCAACCGTGAAGCATGTGTCAGACTCCAGTACTCACGATTTGCTGGGCCCCAAAGGGCTTGTCACACGGCTTGTCTCCGAGCTCAGGCTGGCTCCGCACACGGCTGCTTCTGTCCTTGGTGATTGTCCCACGGTACTGGCATCTCCCCAACGTTGGGGTCTCTGCAACTGGGCTGCACCTTCAACCATAGCCGCTCTCAGACTCTCTTTGAAGCTCTGACCCTGCCACCTGGCTCCAAGTCCTGGCTTCTCTCCACGGTCCCTTCAATCCTGCGGCTTCTGCTGCCACCAGAGCGCACCTCCACCACAGCCTCTCCTGGGCTCTCTTCCGGGACTCCAGCCCTGCCACACAGTGCCAAACCTCAGCTGCTCCCCATGGCCTCTTCAAGCTTTCAAAACCAGCACCACCCGGGTGACTCTTAGGACCAAGTTCCAATTACACGCTCTGATTGTTAGCATGCAGTGCGGCCACGGCCCGCTCTGGACCACAGCTTCTGTGGGCTGACCCTGAGTAAGCGCTTCCGGGTTAATGATCCTCCGAGATGCTGGTCCCTCTTAATCGTTGCTGGCTTCTCAGCTCCAGCTGATCTGTGCCAGCCGTTTCGCTTCAGTGATGCTGGTCTCTTGTTAATCATGGCTCGTTCATCACCAGAACCGCAGAGTCTTAACATGCGATGGCCCGGATAGTCTTTAAGCGACTCTCAAACTTCCCTCTGGAACTTCACAGGCCTCCTCCATCCTCTGCACCGCTCTGGGTGCGATCCTTCACTCTTCCAAGCTCCCACAGAACAGCCTCGTGAGATCTGAGCGCTCAACCGCTCTTCCAGCCCGAAGCTCCAAAATCTCTCCACAATCCTCCCAAAACTCATGGTCAGGTCTGTTATAGAAATAGTCCACAACCTGGTACCGATTTGTCTTAGGGTTTCCATTGCTGTGATGAAACACCACAACCCAACGCAACTTGAGGAGGAAAGGGTTTATTTAGCTCATAGTTTCACAGCCGCGTCCATCACTGGAGGAAGGCAGGGCAGGAACTCAAGCAGGGAAGGGACCTGGAGGCAGGAGCTGATGCAGAGGCCATGGAGGGCGCTGCTCACCGGCTTGCTCAGCCTCTTTCTTACCGCACCCAGGGCCACCAGCCCAGGGATGGCACCGCCCACACCAAGCTGAGTTCTCCTCCACCAATCATCAATCAAGAAAATGCACCACAGACTTGCCCACAGGCCAATCTGGTGGGGACATTTTCTCAACGGCCGTTTTCTCTTCCAAAATGACTGTAGCTTGTGTCAAGTCGACACAAAAGCTTGTGAGCACAGTGGCGATGGCAAAGGTGGGGTTTACAGCGAATGCACAGTGCCCTCCCCAGCGCTGATGGTCTTGTCAGTACTGCTAGTCAGGACGCCTCAGGGCTCTGTGCCTAGAGCACACTGAGGAACTCTAAAGGTACTTGCAGGCCCCAAGTGAGCTCCTGCCCTTGGGCCTCACTCTGGTCCCACTCAGGGGTTCAGGGAAGGAGCTTGTCTATACCACAGGCTGGGTGAGCCAGACCTGGCCCTCAGCTCCTGCTCCTCAGGAGCAGAGGCCCAGGTGCTGCCCACTCGCCAAGGCAAAGTGAGTCTTCCTCAGAGTGAGCCTCGGAAGTTAAGATTCCCCTTGATCTTCAGTGAACCACCGTGGAACATGACCCAGGGACCAGATTCCCAGATGACACAGTAGGCCACTCCCTGAGGCCCTTGGCATTTAGGACACCATGGCAGAGGACACCCTGGATTAGAGGCGGGTGTATTTTTTCCCAGTGGTGGTTAATCAAACCTGGGTTTCGTGCATGGTGGTGTAAGCTTTCTACCAACAGAGTGAGACCTCCCAACAGCCTCTCTGGATTTTAATGAGTGAAAAAGCAGAGGGCAGAACGATGTGGCATCTATCCTGTGAAAAATACGAAAAGGAGACATCAAGTGTGCTGAGGTACACCGGCCCTCAGGCTGAGGCGGGGGCATTAGTCCTCCTTGGGGGCTTCACCTTGCACCCAGAAAAGAAGGGCTGGTCCCCAGCAGGCCGGAAAGTGCTAGCTATAACACTTAGAGATGAATAAACTTTTACAAAAAGAGGAAACCGTAATGCACACACGCATGTGCGTGCGCATGCGTGCACGCACACACACATGCACACACACACGCACACACGCGCACACGCACCGAGTGGCTCCAGTCTGAGGGAGAAGCAGCCCACTAACTGACTACACCCCATTCCTAACACCAGGCCGCCTTCCCTATGTACAGCCCACCCCCACCCCCTCAGTTCCGGGTCCCCAGCCACCTGCTGGAGAGGAGCAGGCTGGACTAGCACGGCCGGCAGAGCAGCCCCAAGGGCTAGAATCTTATCAGCCCCTGAGCCAGCAGGCTACAACTAGCCAGACCCGAGGCCTGGTGAGACAGCTTCCTGTAGCCCCCACTCCACATTCAGTGGGAGAAACCTTCACTCCAGATGTGCAGGCAGACACAACTTCCTCTGGAAGTCTTCCTTCAGGGTGGGCCTGCCCAGGTGCCTGCTGCTCCAGGGCGTGGTCATGTGTGCTCACCGCTTCCAGGATCCCCCTGAATATGGCATGGATCCCAGGAAACCGTGCAGAGATGCCGCTGCAAGGTGGAAGGCTTGGGGATCTGAGCATGGTCATGGTAAGTGTTTTCCTCGCAGAGCTGTCACTCAGGGGCAGGGGTCTCACTCCAGCCCAGGGTGGCCTGGAACTATGCGACCCAGGTTGGTCTCAAACTCGCGGTCTGTCGGCCACCACCCCTGGCCTTTCCTCTCCATATGAAGGGTATTTTACAGACACCTCAAATTCAAGCTGTAACTCAAAGTCACCCTGACAGTGCCATCTCCTTTACCAGCTCATGAGAGTCTGCATTGACTTTTTAAATTTATTGTCTCTTTTATTATTTGTTGTTCATATAAAAAATGTGAGAGCGGTTCCCACTGCCCTTGCTGTCCCATGTCACTGACCCCCCCCAGCCCTGCCTTAGGATTCTGCTGACTCTGTGACATCACCCGGGGCAACTCGGGCAACTGGGTTTCCTCCCCATCTCTGACACCTCTCCAGCTTCCAGTCACCAAGTCCTCCTCAGCCTGCCCCTCCCTGCTTCTCCAACCCCAAGCAAGCGCCTACCTTGGGGCCTTTGTCCTTTTCTTCTGAGGCTTGGAGCGACCCATTCTTTACATCTCCCTAAGAGTCCCTATCAGAGAGGCCTCTCCCAGCAGACAGACAGGAAGCTGTTTTCACCTCAGGACACACCTGTGCATCTTCTCCCTACTCCACACATCTCCCACAACTAGGCTGGGTAAGGACAGAGCCCTGCTCGACACGTATTAATGCTTAGCAGGCAAGGGCCTGAGTGCGAAAGGCCCTGCTGTGGCCTTGGCTTGGTCTGAGAGCTTTGAACTGGTGGTGATCCTCCTGCCTCGGCCCTCCTGGTACTAGACTCACACCAGTGCACTGACGGCCGCACCCAACCTAAGCACTGCTATCACCTTAAGTGTGGTCCTCAGCACCCTGTTTCATTGGCCTCCTCAGCCCCAGCGCGTAAACAAGACCTCCTGCTTTCTCCCTCACCATTCTCTACTATCTCCCCTCAGCTACACAGTGAGGGCCTGTCCTGAAACAAAACCAACAGTACAGTTCCCAGCCTTGCTTTGTAGACAAGAGCTGTCCAGGTGCAGCCCGAAGACTGCAGGCGTTTTCTTCAGTGACAAGATGGCTGTCGGCACTCCATGTTTTCTCTTGGTCACTTCAGCGGAGGTGGGGAGAGGGAAGAGAGCCCAAGCAGGGTCTGTCCTCTTTGTGGTCAGGACAGATGAGTTATACTTCAGCACGTCTTCCTCCTAAGTGGGAGCCGAGTGGTGCCAGCTAATCCGTCATCTCACCCTGGAGGTGACTGACGCAGGAGCCCCGAGCTCACCCTGCAGAGCCAGCCTCTACCTCTGCTCGTGAGGGAAGGGCAGCAGGGGATGGGATGGATGGGAGAAGCCCCGCCTCACAGGGGGAGCTTGCCTGTGCCCCCCCCCCCAGCTGGGGAAGGGGCTCTGCAGCTCCTCCTGTGGCTGTACCAACAGTCAGCACCGGCGAGTGCAGTCGATAACATCACAAAAGAAGCAGACACGAAAGCAGCCACCAGGAGCTGGTAAACTTTATTCTACTAGCCCTGTTCAGAAATGTACAGACCCGGGCTTCAGGGGAGACCCCGTGTGGTGGCTACTTCACACACTCGTGGGCCTCGTACAGGGACGGCTTCCCATGGCCTCAGTCGTGGGGTCCGGGCTTGGGCTCTAGTCCTTGAGAATAAGCGGTGCCTTCACTTGGTCAGCAGCCTCCTTGCCACTGAGGGCCTCCACGATGGCCAGAGCAAACTCGAAGCTGGTCCCAGGCCCTCGGCTGGTGAGGATCAGGCCATCCTTCTCCACACGGCTCTCTGAGTAGCTGTAGTGGCCTACAGGGAACAGACAAGGTTGTTCTAGGTTATGTCAGTCAGACAACACCCACCCACTCACTGGTGCTGCCGCTTCTGCTCTTCTGAGAGTAAATGAAACGCATGCGCGGCTGGACGCTGTAGCTATGATTCCTCACCCTCACGGCTAACACCAGCCCTGTGGGGAGAACAGCAGAGCTGCTGCAGGGGTGAGTGGAAGGGAGCAATGGGCACAGGGGAGAGACAACCCTGAGGGGAACCCGTGAGGAACTTCTCCACTTTGCCCTGGGACTCGGGATCAGGCCAGGGCGCAGAGGCAGGGCAGTGGCCGTGAGGACAGAAACTGGCTGACCCACAGGTAGAGTCCCCGGCCCTCTGTAGCCTCAGACCACACAGGACGGCAGCTGGGAGGCAGGCACCAGCGCCACAGTCTTTCTTCCTGTCTACAGCGTGGGCACCCCACAAGGACCCCAGCCCCCTCTCCCATTCTGTCTCTTCCGTAACAGGACCAGGCTCTGCAAGTCACGCCGGGCCTCCAGGCTGCCCTTACTCATCTTCTAACCCTCGCCGTACAACCCAGGGCTTCCTCTCAGTCAGTCCAGATGTGTTCTCATCACCCGGCCCTGGGGCTTGACTCAGTGTGGCCCTGGAGGCCTGCGACCTCCCACAGCTGGAGCCGGGCCTGCTGCCTGTCACAGTGTCCTCATCCCCTCCAGCACCAGCTGTCAACTTTGCTCTATCCAAGGTGCCTGGGGCCTCTTCTGCTCGCTGTCTGTCTGACCAGAGCCTGGAAGCAGCTTTTCAGTTCAGGGTGAAAGTTCCTTGACTCAGTTCCCCTGGTAATCTATCCACTGGTGAAGGAGGGATCTGCTCCAACATCCTCCCTGGTGTTCTGTCCCCCTCAGCACCAAGGGCACTGTCTAGAGTGCAGTGCAGAGGACCCCACTCTCGGCACCCACGGGAGACCCTGTGCCCAGGCTGTGCGGTCTCTAGCCTCGACAGAGAGGAAGGGGGAGTCTGGGACAGAACCGCAGGGAGGAGAAGGATGTGGGGGCTTCAAGGGCAACGGACCGAGGGATGGCCTCCAGGGCAAGGGCTCCCCTGAAGGAGCACGCGTGCACACACAGCTGCCCACGAGGGCGGGCACGCAGGCGCACGTGCTGACCATGGACCTCCACAGGGCTCGGCAGGGGCCCACAGGGCACCAACACCAGACGCTTGGGCACGGCTTCATGTCTGCTGTTTCTGCCTGGAACCAAGAGCTCAGGGCATCCGGAGTCCACTGAGAGCCCTACAGCATGATTCGCCTCCAAGTAGCCAGCCATATCGGGAGGAGCTTGCCTTCCTACCTTGTTCAAAACTCACCCCATCTGCTTATTTCAGCAGATGGGGCGCACTGGAAACTTGCCATGTATACTAGAGTGAGGAAAACGGGGTCATCACTTGAAGGGAAGTTCCGGTTTACCCAGCCCTGCTCTGACGGCTAAACCAGGTCAAGGTATTTTAGATAATAGACTGGAAGCACAATCGGGCCTAACTAGGACGTTTAAAGGCCTCAGCCAGGGGTTGGTACTCACCATCAGCCCCACCTAGTGGCCACAGTGAGGAACGGCCTCAAAAAGTGTACCAAGGCAGCCGGGGAGGCTGTGGAGCCTGGGAAAGGAGGCCAGCTGGGATTTGTGAGTTTAGGGTAGATTGTAAAAATCTCTCCAGGGAAAAGGCAGGTGGAGAGGCAGACCACAAGGCAGTGACTGAGGCTGCTGCCTGCGGGTGCAAATATGAAGACATGCACAGAGCCACTATTTACGCCTGGGGAACACCAGTATGGGGCAGCAGTTACCATGGAGACCCAAAGCCCAGAGAGCCACAATTCTTGCTACCCCCTCCTTTAAGAAAAAGCAGTCAACCCCTGTGCACAGTGGCTCTGGGGAACAGTCCCTGTTGGAACTGTCCCACCTCTCAGAACGTAGTGTAGGAGAAAGACACCCGCCCAGCACACTGCCATGGGCAGGAGAGGAGGAGGAAGCTGTTCTTTTCAGAGGGAAAATTCACACAGGTTTGTCCAATGCCTTTACTGAGCCCAGCAGAAGGGCCTCACCTAGAACAGTCATGTGGAGGACGCTACAGCCCTTCCAGAATGCTTTCAGGGACACAAAGGTCAAACAGAGTCTTCAAACAGGACTTGCAGACCCCATGCTTAGCAATGACAAATGAGTGGCAGGCCTGCACTGCAGAGAGGCCTCTGGTCACCTGGCCTTTGAGCCTCAGTGCACTGGCCTGAGCAGGAAGACTCCGCCCTCCTCGCCATGAACTGTAGGCTCCAGGCAAGCTGGGGGCCCTGTGTAAATTCAGGGGTCACTGTGAGCTCTCAGCAACTGTATTTCGGCAGCAGGGAAAGAAATCAGGTGACATACGACAGCTCTTCCTGCACTGTCCCCCAACAGTGTGCCAGCCACACAGCACTGGCCTGGGCTCCCACCGTTCTTCCCTCCCTGACCGCAGGTCATTAGCTTAGTACACACCCTCCTGTCTTTACAACACCCAAGAGCCACGTCCTTTATCACATGGTGACTTCCACTCAGTTTACAGACGCTGAAGCGACAGGGCTTCAGGGAAACACGGCAGCGACAAAGCTAAGAACACACCCAAGCGCGGCCCTCGACTGAGAAGACACTTCCGTAGGACTGGCCGGCAGGCAGGGCTGGAGAGCACTGGCTCTCAGCCTTCCTACACTGCCATCCTTTAACACAGCTCCCCATGTTATGGTGACCATATTTTCATCGCTACTTCCCGACTGTAATGTTGCTACTGTTATGTATCATAATGTAAATATCTCGACCCAAAGGTTGAGAACCACCGCTGCAGGGCATCTTCCTGACTGACACAGAGGGTGACTTGAGTCCTAGCCTGCCTGTGCAACCCAGTGAAATCCCATCTCAAAACCAGAGGTGGCTGCAGAAGAACCTAATTAGATCTCATTGGAGTGAAAAACACTAAGCAAGAAGGCTAAAGGGCAGCTCTGGAGCTGCATGAGACACTTCACAGTCCAACAGCGGGGGAGGGGCACCTAGCCTGGCTCTACTCCCATCCTGTCTGCATGCTTCACCGTGAAATTTCTTTTGGCCAGCCTGGTCTACTGAGCAGGTTCCAGGGCAGCTAGGATTGCACAAAAAAAACTGTCTCAAAAAACCAACAAAAAGGGGCTGGAGAGATGGCTCAGAGGTTAAGAGCACTGACTGCTCTTCCGGAGGTCCTGACTTCAATTCCCAGCAACCACATGGTAGCTTACAACCATCTGTAATGAGATCTGGCGCCCTCTTCTGACCTGCAGGGACACATGCAGGCAGAACACTATACATAATAAATAAATAAATAAATCTAAAAAAAAAGCCACAAAAATAATTAAATGTCTAGCTGATACTTAGAAAAGAAATATGTCACCAAAGAAGCTTGCCTGCCACTTAAGACATTCCCTGGAGGTCTTTTTACTGTGGACCATGGGTAGGACATTTGTCAAAACTGCCATCAGGGTTTAAATTCTACCCTTGGGCCGGTGTCAAGGCATTTGGTAAAAACAAAAAGTAAAATGGCATTTCCTTCCCATTTTGACAACGAGGGGTCTGGTGCCTCCGAAGAGAGACTGGCATGCTCCCCTGTACCCCGTGAGTACGAGTTGAGAGGCACATTGGAAGGAAGCAAGGCCGCCACACCATGAAGGAATTCCTGACCCCCCCCCACACGTTTCTAAGACCTTTCCTATGGGAAGACACAGGGTGTACTTACCCCCCCCACACACACACGTTTTTTAAGACCTTTCCTATGGGAAGACACAGGGTGTACTTACCCCCCCCACGCATTTCTAAGACCTTTCCTATGGGAAGACACAGGGTGTACTTACCCCCCCCACACACACACGTTTTTAAGACCTTTCCTATGGGAAGACACAGGGTGTACTTACCCCCCCCCACACACACACGTTTTTAAGACCTTTCCTATGGGAAGACACAGGGTGTACTTACCCCCCCCACACACACACGTTTTTAAGACCTTTCCTATGGGAAGACACAGGGTGTACTTACCCCCCCCCACGCGTTTTTAAGACCTTTCCTATGGGAAGACACAGGGTGTACTTACCCCCCCACACACACACGTTTTTAAGACCTTTCCTATGGGAAGACACAGGGTGTACTTACCCCCCACACACACACACGTTTTTAAGACCTTTCCTATGGGAAGACACAGGGTGTACTTACCCCCCCACACACACGTTTTTAAGACCTTTCCTATGGGAAGACACAGGGTGTACTTACCCCCCCCACACACACACGTTTTTAAGACCTTTCCTATGGGAAGACACAGGGTGTACTTACCCCCCACACACACGCGTTTTTAAGACCTTTCCTATGGGAAGACACAGGGTGTACTTACCCCCCCACACACACGTTTTTAAGACCTTTCCTATGGGAAGACACAGGGTGTACTTACCCCCCCACACACACACGTTTTTAAGACCTTTCCTATGGGAAGACACAGGGTGTACTTACCCCCCCACACACACACACACGTTTTTAAGACCTTTCCTATGGGAAGACACAGGGTGTACTTACCCCCCCCCACACACACACGTTTTTAAGACCTTTCCTATGGGAAGACACAGGGTGTACTTACCCCCACCACACACACACACGTTTTTAAGACCTTTCCTATGGGAAGACACAGGGTGTACTTACCCCCCCCCCACGCGTTTTTAAGACCTTTCCTATGGGAAGACACAGGGTGTACTTACCCCCCCCACACGCGTTTCTAAGACCTTTCCTATGGGAAGACACAGGGTGTACTTACCCCCCCCACACGCGTTTCTAAGACCTTTCCTATGGGAAGACACAGGGTGTACTTACCCCCCCCACACGCGTTTCTAAGACCTTTCCTATGGGAAGACACAGGGTGTACTTACTACCATTCATCATTTTGTCCTTAGCCCCCGGGTGCGTTGTAACCTTGCTTCCAAAACCTATTTCATGAGCCAACAGAGCGGTAGGACCTACGGATAAGATGGATAAAAAGATTAGAGTGCAAACAGAAGACCTGTGCTTTAAACCCTGCAACAGTGCTGGGCATGGTGGAGCAGCATTTAATCCCAGAGCTCGGGAGGCAGAGATGGGAGGATCTCTGTGAGCCCCAGGCCAATAGGACTACGTAGTTATGACTCTGAATAACATTGCTTAAGCAGAAATGGAAGGGCGTATCCATGACGGGCCTGTGCAGAACGCATCTGCTGAGGAGCACAAACTGTTTTGCATGCATGTACGTCTGCGCACTGTTGGATCCCCTGGGATTGGAGGCACGCATGGCTGTGGGTAAGCATGCCTGCCTGTTGATGCTAGTTTCTCTCCAGTTCCTGCCTGGCTCTTTATAAAGGGAAGCATTGGGGTCAAAACATGCATGTTTCGCTGCCGCTTCACGACCATTCTTTTCTACTTCAAAGAGCAGAGTTAAGTTGCTCGGCTCCAAATACACCAGTTGGTGGGATTAAGATGGAAGGCAAGTTGAGCTCTGCAGGAAATTCAGGGGCTGATGTCTGGGATGCAAAGACACCGGGTCCCTTTGAAACCACTGATGTGACAAACCACGCACACTGTCAGCCCGTGATACCTGAGGACAAGCCTCTTAGGAAGAACTCGGAAACAGGAGGACCAGCTTGTCTGTCACTGGTGAGTTCAGGGGAAGCGGCCAACCTCAGGGATGCTCACAGCACCTGACCTCTCCCGTCAGGGAGCTTTCACTCTGCAGCTGACTGACTCTCCAGCCTCCTCCAGGCCTGGCTCCCCCAGGACAGGGGCTCTGCCCACAGCCCCTCACCACAGCTGCTACAGCAGGGGCCGGCACAGATCATCACTGTCCAGGCCGCGCACTCAGGCCTCAGATCCAGACCAAGCCCACAGGAACCGCTTGAGTCTAAGCGTCAAATACACGCCCTCCACCTCCTATCTTCTCTACAAATGACGGTTAGTTGTAGAGGGCAGACAATTTCCAAAGTCTACAAAGATGTCATAATTACCACTCAATGGTTTTCATTTTGGGACAAAGGAGTCTCCCTATGTAGCCTTGGCTGGCCAGAACTCACCATGTAGACCAGGCTGGCACAGACTCACTGAGTCTGCCTGCCTCTGCTTCCCAAGGTCTGGGACTAAACATGTGCGCCACCACACCCAGCCACCATTCACTGCTATTTGAATGATTCCATGTGCACCTCTCTCAGATTCTCACAGGGAGATCTGAACTGAGACTCCTACACCACGCTCTACGTGGCAGCAAGTTTCTGCCACTAACCTTGAGGGAAGAGCATGGCCAACTCAGTCAGGTCTAGAGGATGCTACCCTGGAGGTAACGACACTGTTGCTTTATGCAACAGGGCCAGGACGCATGGCTGCCTTCCCTGTCATGTAAGCTCCTAACTGATGATTTCTGAGAGGCTGGGGTGGCGGAGGGGGGTGTCAAAAGCACATTTTGAAAATTAAGACAAGACAAACTTCTAACTGCCATTGTCTGAGCCTCTGATGAAGGATATGCTAAGACTTAGCTCTGGGAACCCGGCTTCCTATAGTGCCCCCTGGTGGACACTTGACAAAAGAACACCCAGCTGACGAACTCCTTCGGTAGCCTGGCTTCTGGTGAACTGTTCTTACAGGGCAGCTCCTAACTAACTGCTAGGACTTCAAGCTCCCGCCCCCTCACAATAATGCTCCTGCACTTTCTTCCCAGGAAGCCTCCTGCTGATGACTTTCTTCAAAGGTGAAGCTGACAACCAAGTCCAAAGGCGGTACCCGACCCGAGGGAAACTCCAGACCTCGACCTCGTGTTGACTGAAGGAGTGTTCCATCACTGTGCTCCATTCCCTGCCCACGTTACCCGTTTTCTCTGTTCATCACTCCAGGACAGTCAATTTGATTAGCGCACACTAGTATTGTTTCTTTTTTAATGTTTATTTGATGCGCAGGGAGGCCCAGGCATTCCAGCATGCCTCAGCAGAAGAGAGTGAGCCAGCTAAAGCTGGTAATGCTCTAGCTACTCAGTGACACGGAAGAAATAGATGACACCGCAGTTTAGTTTCAGCCAAGTCATAAGGAACAAACCCAGGGAAACCCTAAGGAGACCGGTCTCCCAGATCAGTGACTTCCTGCCCACAGAGGACAGTTCAACGCTGCAGGGATCGCAGGACCATCAACCAACAAAAACCCCTGGGCCTCGTCACAGCAGGGAATGAGAGCTGTAGGAGCTGGGACAAGAGGTCCAGGCCAATGCCTAGGTGCTCCTGCTGGGGCTGAAACAGTTCACCAGCACACAATGCAGGGGTCCCTGAATGCCCACATGGGCGATGTCCACTGCTGTGCCATGTCAGGGAATAAGAATGGTTTCGCCAGGCTGTCTTTGGTGCTAGGGATGGAACACAGGGCCCCACACATTCTAGGCACATGCTCTACACCTGAGCTACGCTATCGGCCCCAAGCTGGAAACGGTTAGAACTTCCCCCGCTTATGCTCCTTCCCCTTTCTCTTCTTTGGTGAGAGGCGCCTGCTATGTAGCTCAGGGTGGTTTTGAACTCATGAACCTACTTCTACATCCCCCGTGCTGGGATGACAGGTCGGTCTCCATAGCCAGCCCAAAACCTGGAAAACTACAGCTCAACGCCTTGACTCAGGATGGCCTCGGCAGCCTGATGGCACTCCAATAGGAAGCCGACAGAAACGGTCAGATGCTCCTGCTGGATCTACTCTGCCCCACAGCTAGGACAGAGTCCCCCGGCCCCCAAACAAGCCATCCATGCCTTCAGTCGTGGATTCGTTTGTTCTGCGACACATGTAACATGTAAAAGTTCTGTGACACACGTAAAAGGTGTCCAACAGGGAAGACAGTGGAAAAGTGGCACCGACCCAGACGCCAGAGCATCGCCCAGTATTAGAGCAACAGGACTGGGCTTCAGAGGAAGCAAATGACTACAGAGCTCAGGACTCGGATGGGACACACAAGACCTAATCTGGGGCCACGGCGTCAGGGGCAAGCACTGGCGTGAGCCCGGGCCAGCAGAGCCCGGCTAGAGCTGTGGAGTCACGCCACACAGACTCTCGCTGACTCTCCTGGGGGCACGACGGCTGGCACAGACATCTGCTGGCACAGGCTGTGTGCTGGATCCCAGAGGCCTCATCCCCAGGCCATCCAGCTAGGGAAAGCAGTGAGTTTCAGACGTGAGACCCGAAGCGTGGAGAGACAGAAAGCTCCACAGTCACGCTCCGTGCTGCGAGGACACGCAGTGTGGGTGCCTCTTTGGTTCATGAAGGCAAGCTGTGTGCACCCAAACTTCCAGGCAGGCTGCCCCTTGGCCAGCTGCGTGGTCCACATCCTCTTACTCACCAGCACAGATGGCAGCTATGAGGCCCTTCCTGCTCTCCTGCTCCTTCAGGATCTCCTTCACCACAGGGGACTATAGAGAGAGCACAAACACCCAGTCACTAGTGAGCGCCTCACAAGGAGAGCTGGGAGACTCACTTGAGGCTTAGCTTACAAAGTGACAGGCTCCGACATTCACCCCAAGAGAAAGGCCTGCCTCAGTAAAGATGGGCAGGGAAAAACAGTGTCACCAGGGCACATAACCCTGGTCCTGTGCTCTGGAAGGGACAGAAGTGAGGGGACACAGGGTTCAGTCGCCTCAGATGGCAGAGGAGAAAAGACCCAGTAGGAACAGTCCACGCCCTGCCCCTGCCTGCTCACAGTCCGCCCACTGATCCTGATGCCGTCCCGTGTGACTCTTCACATCGGGCTGCCTCTGATGCCATCCCGAATTCACACTGGCCCTCTCGCCCCACAGCTGTTCCTGACCCTGGTGACAGAGCAGGCGGCACTTGCTAGGTTGCTGCGGAGCTGGGACGTTTGCAGCTCACTCTGGTCTATGCGCCGAGCCTGTCTGCCGCAGCTGCTCCGTCAGCCTGGCTCACGTCTGCAGTCAGTGGTCTCAGAACCCTGCTCTGCAACGCTAGACACCACCAGCTAACTTTGGCTCTCTCTCCTGGAACTATGCCCCCCCCCCCCCCCCCGTGCACACCAGGACAAACACAACGGAGCAGGGTAGAAGCTGCAAGACTTTCTTCACACGCGCTTCACTGAGGTGCGTGTGGCTGAGCAGTTTTTACCTCGGATAAATTCTGTGCTCCCAGATTGCCTCCTGGAAGAACCACCACATCGTATGGTCCCTGTGAGGAGGGAAATAAAAGGGAACATTTTATCTCTGCCACGTTAAATGGTAGCCTGGTAACAGCTTTGTATCTGAAGACACTCGAAGGTGGGGTTATGCGTATGCGTCTTGGTAGAACACCCGCTTAGCACAGGCGAGACCCTGGGTCTGAGTCTAACACTAAGTGGCAGGCACAGTGGTGCCGCCTGAAGGAGGAAGGAGGAAGGAGGAACCTTACGGTGGAACACTGTAACCAAAAAAGAAGAGAAAAGAAAAATGCAGGTATGAGGGCTGGAGAAATGGCTCAGCAGCTAAACTTTTATTGCTCCTGAAAGGACTGGAGCTCAGTTACCAGCACCAACATGGCGGCTCCCAACTCCATGTAACTCCAGCTCCAGGGGAATCAACATCCTCTTCTGGCCTCTGTGAGTACCCACAGACACAGCATTCACTCACACAGACACACAGACACACTCACACACAAATAATCTCTCACTTTAAAAAAAAGGTTTGTTTATGCATGTATTTTATGTGTATGAGTGTTCTGTCTTTACACACACCAGAAGGAATCTGACCTCATCACAGATGGTTGTGAGCCGCCATGTGGTTGCTGGGAATTGAACTCAGGACCTTTGGAAGAGCAGCCAGTGCTCTTAACTGACCAGGCCTGTAATCTCCTTTAAGATGGAGAAGAATCCGCATGAAAGGACACCCCGCGACAGCTGTGATGCAAATGCCCTGTGCAGAGGCAACAGTGCCAAGCACGGAGTCTTGCACCTCGTAACAAAGGGAGTCACCACATCCATGTACACAGACAGACGGACAGAAACATACATGCAAGTGAGCGACCACCAGAGATGCTCACAGACGAGACACCCAGCAGCTGACAGGACTATCATGAGAGGCACAGCAGGGAAGAGGGGAGCGCGCCACTCGGACTTTACATGTAAATGTCTCCACCACATGGCTTGTTCTTCAGCAGAGTACATGCAGTGATTTTAAAAACTAAAACAAATATTGAAAGGCAGGGCTGGAGAGAAGACTCAGAGGTTAAGAGCACTGGCTGCTCTTCCAGAGGTCCTGAGTTCAATTCCCAGCGACCACATGGTGGCTCACAACCATCTACAATTCAATCTGGTGCCCTCTTCTGGAGTGCAGGCAGAACGCTGTATATGTAATAAATACATCTTTAAAAAAATATTGAGAGGCAAAGAAAAATTTAACATTATGAAAACTGAAACTTTGCAGAGAGAAAACGACAGTCTTCTCGTGTCTTACAGCTTGCCGAAATTAAAGAGCATGAAGGAGAAAGCTGTTCTAGCGGTATTCAATACTTGTGCTTATTTCATCTTTGTGGTGCTGGGCACGGAACCCACGACCTCACACACGCTGGGCGACTGTTCTACCACTGAGCCACGCATCTCAGCTCATGCTCCCTTTATGAACCAAATAAACACATGTGAGAGCAACCACTGTCTAAACACCGATGCCACAGGACAAAAAATATCAACGAAAAGGAATATTCTACTTCTTGCCTTTGACACACCTTTTAGAATTTTTCTTTTTTTCTTTTTTCTTTTTGGTTTTACGAGACAGGGTTTCTCTGTATTGTTTTGGAGGCTGTCGGTCCAGGCTGGCATCAAACTCAGAGATTCACCCGCCTCTGCCTCCCGAGTGCTGGGATTAAAGGCGTGCGCCACCACCACCCGGCTAGAATTTTTCAAGATTTTGTACATAGATACCAAAAGTCAAATCGTCTACAATATAGCAATGAAATACTGAAACTTCTTTTTCTTTTTTTTTAGATTTATTTATTATGTATACAGTGTTCTGCCTCCATGTATTCCTGCAGGCAAGAAGAGGGCACCAGATCTCATTACAGATGGCTGTGAGCCACCATGTGGTTGTTGGGAATTGAACTCAGGACCTCTGGAGAACAGCAGTGCTCTTAACTGCTGAGCCATCTCTCCAGCCCAGAACTACTGACTTCTTAGAGAGGAATGCACGCCTCTCCATGAGGGACAGCGTGGGGACCGCACTCCTGACTGCCTTTCCCTCCTTCGCTGCCATGACTCTGCTCTACAGGGCACAGCCCATCTCTCATCACCCTGAGCCATGACCTCTGACCTATGGTAGTGTCTGAAGGTCAGTGGGCAGGGATGCTTTGGAAGAAAGTGATCCCAGCCTTCCAAAGACACCCGGCAGTACCCGTCATCGTACAACAGGTAGACAGCAGAGCTGATAAGGAGAGCTCTCACCTCTACCTCAGCCCAACTGCGCATCACCTACGCAATACTCCACACGAAAGGAATCCTGCAAGTCCACCTGCCACTCTCAGAGGGAAGCGAAGGAGCCCGGCCCATTATCCAGCTACCAGGGAAGCCGAGACAGAGGGTCATGAGTCAGGGCTACCTGGGTCACAGGAGGGCCACTTCCAAAATCCTGACTCGAAACAAATCTTTAACGAGGGAGAGGCTAGGAGGATGGAAGTTGGTGGCGGAGCTTGTGTGGCGCGTGTAAGGCCCAAAGTGCGACTACCAGTACTGAAAAAGGAAAATGGAAAATGTGGTAGCCCACGTGAGACGTAGGGAGACCTTTGGGAGAATACCCGTGAAGACCATGCTTCCAGTCAGCGCCTTGTAGGAGCTCCCCGCCACCCATCCGCTTACAAGTCTCAGGAGCCAGCCATTCCCATCCGGGCAGAATCGTCTTTAATTCTGTTTGTTTGTTTGTTTCTGAGACAGGGTTTCACTGGGTAGCCCTGGCTGTCCTGGAACTTGCTCTGTAGACCAGGCTGGTCTTGAACTCACAAGTGCCAGGATCAAAGGCAGGCACTACCACCACCACCGGGCAGAACCATTTCCTTAAGTGCATTTTAACAGCAGTCATAGATGCAGTCAAAAGTCATTTCAAAACAAACAAAACTTGGAGGAAGGAAAAGTTCACGTATACAAAACAAACCTGCTTTTTTGCATCTTCAAGACTGGTATCAGGACAAATCATTACGTCACGGCTACACTGCACGGGGTCTTTCCCAGCCAGGCCTGCAACAGTGACTTTAATCTAGGGAAAGAGCAGATGTTCAAGAACATGGAAATATACAGACACAGGGCGACATTTAATACCCATCCTGCCAGGGAACACCACAAAACCAAGGCAGGGCAATGGCCAGATAATTTAACAGCGGGTATCTTCTGGTTTGCCCAGGGACAGTCCTAATTTGTAGCTGAGCTGCTACCCCAGTTCTGATTGGCTAGAACACCGTCTGTCCCACAAGTGTTGAGTTGGGAGATGAATTACAGGGTCACCCTATTAATAACCCATCTTGCAGGGCTACCGTTGCCATTTAAACCTCATGGTTTTTTCCAAGGTAGACATGAAAGTCACACAATTAAAGAATACTTTACCCTGGGAAACATTTAGTAGGTGACATGACTATTAGCTAGTATCCAAAATACGGGCTGAGAGGCCAGCAGGTTACCTCTCTGAGGACAAGCTATCACAATCTAGCGATGTTGATCATAGCAGTCCTGGCCCAGTAATCACACACTTGTGTGCAGAGCCTGAAAAACCGTCCTCACATTTGCACAAGTAAAACCCACAAAAGAGTATTCCTTGCAGAGGCTGTGTGGCTCAGTGGTTAAGTGCGCCTGGATTTTGTTTCCCAGCACCCACGTGGCAGCTCACAGTCACCTAACTCTAGTTCCAGGAGATCAGGCACCCTCTTCTAGTCTCTTCCCGTACCAGGCACGCATGCAGTACACAGACATACATGCAGACAGACATCCATACACAGGGAAAAGCTGAAAATCCTAACTATTTACTCCAGTGTCGTAAGGGTGTAAGTGGAGGGGCGAGGCGGCGGCATTCGAACGGTGTGGAGAACTTCGCGGGGCGACACTGGAGTTTCGTTTTGAGAGCTGAGTGTAAACAAACTGCCTGTGCCTGCGCTCTGCTCCCTGTTAAATCGGCACAGCTGAGTGCCCCGCCTGGGTCTCAGGAGAACAGGCAGCTGAGGCAGCGCTGCATTCGGGTTTGTGTAAATGCTCACGGCGCCACATAAGACGCACGCCACACGTAAGCACAGGGTGTGAGCGCAGGCTAACGTGTGGGGCGGCAGCCGTGAGTCTGAGGACAGTCATGTCTGGGGACGGAGGGACGGACACACGGCGGAGGAAGGGGAAGGGACGCAGGGGAAGCCCCACCTCACAGCATTTACTTTAAAAAACAAGAACAAACAGAAGGTGTCCAGGTCAGGGGGGCTGGCCCAGGCCTGTTATCCCAACTACTTGGGAGCGTGAGCCCCGGGATACAAGGCCAGCTGGGAAACACACACCCTTCCCTTGAGTAAATAAATTAATTAATTTAAAGAGGGTCTGAAAGAAACAAGGCAAAGTGTCACAAGTTTCACAAGTCAGCGGTGAAGCCAGACGCCGAGGAAGCTGAGGGAAGAGAACGGCCAAGGGTTCAAAGCCACCTTGAGCTGCGTGGTTAAGCCCCAGGTCAGTTTGGTCTAGAGGGTGGAACCCAATCTCAAAAGCCAAAAAAAAAATGGTGAGCAGTGGACAAAATCGGTGTTTTATCACTCAATCTCTGTAGTTTTGCACTTGAAACATCTCATCAAGTACGGGGGGGGGGGGGGCAAGATGGCTGAGCGGGGAAGGGCACTGAGGAAGACTTTGGCTTAATCCCAGGGTGGAGGAGAGAACCAACTCCTACAACCTACCCTCTCACCTCCACGCCCCCACCACAGGATGCAGGCTCACACACAACCAATGAGAAGACCAGGGAGGGCTAGCCCAGGAGGGGACTCACCCCGGCTCGTCGCATGATATCCACGGGGATCACTGTCTCCATCTCCTCCGCACCCTTAGCCAGGATGACCAGAGCTCTTTTGGAAGCCATTTCTAATCCTTAAAGACCTAAAAAAGAAAAAACAAAAATTATTTAAAAAGTTGCCAATATAGCCGGGCAGTGGCGGCGCACGCCTTTAATCCCAGCACTAGGGAGGCAGAGACAGGTGGATCTCTGTGAGTTCGTGGCCAGCCTGGTCTACAGAGTGAGTTCCAGGACAGCCTGGAACCTGAAACCCTGTCTCAAAAGCAAACAAAGTTGCCAATGTAATAACCACCGGAAGGTGTAAACATCTTCCAGGGAACAGGTAGGGATAAACTAAAGCAAGCCATTTAGGTTAACACTGGTTTACACGGTAGTTTTGGTCGTTAATTCTGAGATGAAAACAGGGTGGCTGGGCTGTGGGGACGGACTACGGTTAAGAGGAGAGGCCCAGGCTTTGTTCCCAGTACCCACACGGCAGCTCACGATCGTCGGTAACTCCAGTTCCAGGAGATCTGGCCCCTCTTCTGGCTCCCGCTGGCACTGCACGTGTATACATGCAGGCAAAACCCTCACACACCAAAAATCTTTTTAAAACACATAAAGCAGGGGTTGCTAACATGCGTTAGTATTGTGTGGATCTTCCCTTGCTGTGCTTTTTAAAGTCCAGTGTCTTAAGAGGCATGTCACGTGATGGAGCCTGCGTATCAGTCACACTGACCTAAGAAAAGTGGACTTTCTTACACTACGGGTCACAAGTGTTGTTAAAATGTTTAGGTTTATCCAGTAAGGAGACACAGACCTCGACTCAACGATCCCACGTGGAGTTTATTGGTGGACGGGGAGGGAAAGGGGGGTGAGAGGTAGCCAACCTATGCAGAGCAGAGAGAGAGAGATAAGATATGAGACAGAGTAAGAGAGCAAGAGAGCGTAAACGGGCAGGGGTCAGTCCTTTAGAGGGGTCCTTTGCACCTGCGTGGTTCTCACGGAACTCTGGGCAGGCCAGCGCAATGCCTGAACCTTTCAACAAGAGCAAACTTGTAAATTCTGGAGGGTTTTTTTTTTCCTGTGGCTTTGGAGGCTGTCCTGCAACTAGCTCTTGTAGACTAGGCTGGCCTCGAACACAGAGATCCGCCTGCCTCTGCCTCCCGAGTGCTGGGATTAAAGGCGTGCACCGCCAACGCCCGGCTGGAGTGTGTGTGTGTGTGTGTGTGTGTGTGTGTGTGTGTGTGTGTGTGCGTGTGCGTGCGTGCGTGCGTGCGTTGTTTCAATAAACTGAGCTACAACCTCGAGACCAGGTCAACCCCTGAGCACACGGCTCACGATTAAGGGAGACGGGAATTCCTTGTTCGAAGTCGAGGCTGCCAGGCCGCTCTGCACCGCGGACGGGAGCAGCCAGGCGCCCCGGTGGCGCGCTTTCCCTGCACCAGGACTTGAGTCAGCGCCTTCCAGAAAGTAAATGTTCACCCGCGGCAACCCGTAGGGGGCCGCGCGGAGCCCCGTCCCGGCATGCGCCGCGGCCGCCGCCCCCGGCCCCCCGCCCTACCGGACCCTCCCCGGGCAGCGGGTGGACAACCGGGCCGCTGTGCTCCCGGGCGCTGACCTGCACCCGCGCCTCCTCCACCCACGCGAAGCTTCGGTCAGCGCCGCAGCAAACCCCGCGCCCGGCCCAGTCACACTAGCAGAGCAGGCCGCACGCACGCATGCGCGCCGCCCGCACCGAGCCTGCGCCCAGTCCCCGCGCTTCCGCCTCGGGTGCGTCACATCCGGTCGGACGCATTTTTTCCCCCCTCCCCGGAGGAAGATGGGCACGCGGAGGGGTTGCTAGGGCTACGCGGACCGCACGCGCCTCCCCTCAGCCAAGGAGTGGTACGGACCCTGCGGGCGCCGGCCGCACTTGACCATAACGCTTAGAGGCCCGGGCATGAGAATGGTCGCGAGTTCGAGGCCAGACTAGGCTAGAAGCACGCACGCGCGCGCACACACACACACACACACACACACACACATACACACACACACACACACACATACACATACACACGCACGCACAGGCTAGGCCAGAACATCTCACACACGTGTGCGTACATACTTTGAGCTTACACACACACACAGACTAGGCTAGAAAGTCACACACACACACACACACACGCACACCACGAAAGGAAGAGAAAATAAAAGCCCGGGCATGAGAATGGTTTCTCTCTCTCTCTCTCTCTCTCTCTCTCTCTCTCTCTCTCTCTCTCTCTCTCTCTCTCTCTCTCTCTCTCACACACACAAACACATGCACACACACACACACACAGAGGAATATAAAAGCCTGACATTGTTGTCCACACTTGTTTGTAATCCTAGTACTTGTGAGATGGAGCCGAAGTTCAAGGTCGTCTTTGGAAGACGGTTCACATCTCTTTTCTTATGCGCCGTTCCCGCCTCTTGCCCCTTACTGTGTGTGACACCCCCTCTTCTCACCACCGGCCTGCTAGTACTCCATGCCAGGTCGTCCCAGGCCTGTCCCTCCCCCCCAGGCCTGGTCACCCTGTGTGGGGTCACACGAGTTTTCTCTTTTCTCGACACTGGTTTTTAAAAGGCCCAGCTGGGAGCTGGAGAGGCAGCTCAAGGGTTAAGAGATCTCGCTGCTTTTGCAGAGGACCCGGGTTTGGGCCCCAGCTCCCGGAAGGAGAGACTCACAGCTGCCTGTGTAACTCCAGCTCCGGGGGGATCCAATGCCCTCTTTTGGCTTCCACAGGCCCTGCACTCACACACACAAGCTCACAAATAATAAAAGGCCTGCTGCACCCTTGGTAGAGCGAGGCTGACATCGCCGATGCGGTTTTTAACGGGTTATTTAGATTGTATAATTTTATTTCAGTTTTTCACATTTGTCTGGCTTACATTTATTTCCTGTGTGTGCACATGGGGGCTGAGCGTTGGTGGCACATGCCTTTAACCCCAGCACTCTGGAGGCAGAGGCAGGCGGATCTCTGTGAGTTCAAGGCCAGCATGGTCTACAAATCGAGTTCCAGGACAGCCCCCAAAGCCACAGAGAAACCCTGTCTCGGAAAAACCAAAAAAAAAGAAAAAAAAGAAAAAAAAAGGAGAGAGGCTCACCCTCACCTGGTCCCATCCTGCCCCTCCCAGGAAGTGCCCGTGCAAACCTCCACACAGGATGTACTTGCTTTCCTTCCTACGAAGAGACTGAATGCCCCACATACATTGGCTGACCTCCATTACAGGTTCATTTTGGAAATCTGACATACTGGAGATTCTTTTTTTTTTTTTTTTTTTTTTTTTGGTTTTTTTGAGACAGGGTTTCTCTATATTGTTTTGGAGGCTGTCCTGGAACTCTCTCTGTAGACCAGGCTGGCCTCGAACTCACAGAGATCCACCTGCCATACCAGAGATTCTTGCAACAACAGTGTGAGTGTTTCGTTTGGTTTTTTAAAGATTTATTTATTATGTATGTAGTATTCTCCTTGCACGTATGCCTGCAGACCAGAAGAGGGCACCAGATCTCATTACAGATGGTTGTGAGCCACCGTGTGGTCGCTGGGAATTGAACTCAGGTCCTCTGGAAGAACAGTCTGTGCTCTTAACCTCTGAGCCATCTCTCCAGCTCCGGGTGTTTTGTTTTTAAGTTTTTAAAAACTGTTAAGTCGTGTAGACAGCACCGTACTTGAGCAAATGCTTGATGTTGTTTAAGGGTTTAAAAAGAAACTGTTCTGGAATGGCTGGCTTTTACTGTCTGCAAAGGGAAAAGGCAGAGCTAGCCCTTCAGCTTTGAAGGTGTAGAAACCTAGGGTGACAGACAGAAAGGCACAGGGGCCACTTAAGTGTGCTGGGCTAGGTGGCTCATGCCTGTAATCCCAGAATGACGTCTACCTCGAGGTGGGACACATGCCCTTGTCTCTTAAGGGTTAATCCAGTGTGGCAGTTCGGGAACCTGGCTAGGGGACACCCGCAGAGTGCTGCCCCCCCTGCCGTCACGTGCTGCGGCCTGATGGTGGTGGGGCTGTTGCAATGGCCATGACAATAGTTGAGGGCAGCATGCAGGCAAGCTCACGCTGACATCACCACTCCACCATGAAGTTCTGAGATGGGGCTGAGGCAGCAATGATTTTATCCAATGAACGCTAAGTCTCAAACCCTAGGCAAAGGGAGGTGCCTATTTAGCCAATCAAAGTGGACCTGGCCACCAGGTTCTCCCAGCATTCCTCAGTCCCTACCTGTTACAGCGTGTGGCTGGCACACCAACCCTGTACCCCGAACTCTCCAGTCCAGGGTCTGGGCTGCCCTTCTCCAGCTGCCCCTCCCTACATAATCCAGCCATTTTGCTTATGCCATTCTCTGGTCAGTCTCTTGACCCAGGCAGCCCCTCTTAATCTTTGGTCCCTGTCCCCCCTCTGCTCACATGGATCAGGGCCATGTCCACTCTGGACTCTCCCAGGTGTCCTTGCCTGTGGATACACTCTCCCTTTTATCTACAGTAAGCTTTCTCCATCATACATACCTAGATCTGTCATGTCCTTTTCTTTTTTTCTTTTCTTTTCTTCATTCAATGAATTCCCTCAAACACTGGGGCTGAAGAAATGGCTCAGTGGTGAAGTGTTTGCAGAAAACCTGGTTTCGGTTCCCAGCACCCACTTCCGGTGGCTCACAACGGCCTCCACTATAGAGTAAGTGCTAACTCACACAGCAGACTCCACTATAGAGTAGGTGCTAACTCATACAGCAGACTCCACTATAGAGTAGGTGCTAACTCACACAGCAGACTCCACTATAGAGTAGGTGCTAACTCACACAGACTCCACTATAGAGTAAGTGCTAACTCACAGCAGACTCCACTATAGAGTAAGTGCTAACACACAGCAGACTCCACTATAGAGTAGGTGCTAACTCACACAGACTCCACTATAGAGTAGGTGCTAACTCACAACAGACTCCACTATAGAGTAGGTGCTAACTCACACAGACTCCACTATAGAGTAGGTGCTAACTCACACAGACTCCACTATAGAGTAGGAGCTAACTCACAACAGACTTCACTATAGAGGTGTTAACTCACACAGCAGGGGCCCCTGGCCTTCCATCCTTGATATCCCAACTCTTTATCCTCTCTCCCAATGAGCTCAGTCTTTTTCTTTTTCTCTTTTTTTAAAGAGGGTCTCCCTATATGTATCCCTGACTGGTCAGGCTGGCCTCTCAGAGACCTGCCTGCTTCTGCCTCCTGAGTGTGTTGGGGTTAAAAGCATGTGCCATACACCCGGCTTCACAGATGCACTTCTTGAGTGCCAAGGCAGTGTGACCAGAGGCCTCAAGCTCTTGGTCCCTGTCATGATGGACTACATCCCTCCAACTGTAAGCTAGAATAGACCTTCCATTCCTTAAGTTACTGTAGATATTTTCTCACAGCACGGAGACAAGTCACTAATACAGTATCATAACTTTCATTTTACAGGTACAAAGACTGAGGCAGAGTTTTGCAGTCTTGGGAAAAACTCAGATATTCTGATGCCAGAATTCACACTCTGCCCACCATACAACGCTGCCAGCATTCGTAAGCAGTGCCAGTAACTCTCGTGACAATGCAAAGATATTCCTCATCACACGTTTACAGAAGAAAGCCCAAAAAATCCAACCATTTACCAAAACAGACTGCTGAAATACTGGTCATGAGGACACCTCTTAGTCAGCCAGAACAGCCCCATCCTATCCACGGACCTTTGTCACTCAGCATCTGACAAGTCACTCTGCAATGTGGGGACAAGTACAAGCTAAACCCCTCCCTCCCGGGTTTCAGGAAGTCGGTGCGTTACAGCAATCGCTGTATTTAATCTTTCTCTCCTCGCGGTCATTTGACACGTGCGACACGTGCACTTGCAGCGTGAAGTTGACGTCTTTCATCTCTTGCTTCCCTGAAGTTAAGCCGCAGATACTGGGCGGGAGAAAGGCCTTTGGGACATTTACCGAAATAGAAAAATAAAAAGTGTTTTTTTTTTTTTGAGATTGTCCCACATTGCTCCGTCTCGACTAGAACTCGAGCTCGCGGTCATCCTCCTGCCTCTGACTCTCCGCCCCCCCCCGTGCTGGAGCGAAAAGGCCTGGGCCTCCGCGCCCAGCTGATAGGCGGGTTTCCAGTGTCGCGGAGAACTTCCCCCTCGGAGCCCACGAAAGGTCAGGTGGGCGCGACCGGAGAGTGGGCGAGCCCTGACCTTTGAGGCGGTGCTGGCGCAAGGGGGAAATTCTGACTCGCAAGTCCGTGAGGACCCGAGCCCCGCTCCGCCTCGGCCCGGACCGAGTGAGAAGCCGCCCGGGGGCGGACCACCCGGAACGCCTCCGACGGACCACCGGCCGCCGGAAATGGGTCGGCTGAGCCGCAGAGACGCACTACTGGGCTTCCGTCAGCTGCGGCGCCGGCGATTGGCTACACCGCGGTGGGCGTGCGTGCGTGCAAGTCCGCCCCCCCGCCCCTGCGGGACTCAGTGCGCCTGCGCGGCTTCCGCGAGCGCTCTCCCGGGAGCAGCGCCGCCGCCGGAAGCTGCCTGCGGTCCCCGGTCTCCCCAGGGTCACGGAGAGCTGCTCCTTTGCGGACTTCCGGGGGTGAAGAGGGCGGCTTGGGGGTGTGGCGCGCTTGCCGGTGACCGCGGCGCATGGGCTGGCCTGGGAATGACTCGGCCTGGCGGATTCCCAGCCCTGGGGCCCCGGGCGTCCCGACAGCTTTGAAGACACTGCCCGCCAGGCTCCGCAGCTACCGAGAGCTCGCTCTCCGAGAGTCGGCAGAAATGAAAATACCATAGAGGGACGCCGTGCCCCAGGCAGTCAGACTGCTGCAACGATGGCCCCGAAGAAACGGGGATGTTCCCAGGAAGGAGAGGGAACCAGCCCGAGGGGGCCTTGTTTCCCTGCAGCCGATTGCACACAGTTCCTACACCTGACGGGGCGAGCCCCGGGAGAGCGTCCGTGCGCATATCCCCGGCTCTCTGCTAAAACTGACCAGCCTCCATACAGATAACTTCAGGCAGTTCCCTGCATGTCTCTGTCCCTCTCCCCAGCGTGGCCACACTGAATAAAATCTGCTTTTTACTATTAATTCAAGTCTTAATTGGCTTACTGAGGACAAGAGGCCAGAGCTTACTGAGAAACAGATGTTGACAGTCAAGATGGATAATAATTATATAGTGAATGTTAAGTAAGTCCCGTCTGCTCTGGGCTGAGCAGCGGTTACCCTTAGGACAAAGACAAAGTACCCTGAGTGGTGGCGGTGTGCTTGTTTGTAGTTCTCTGATTTGGACAGCGACTCCTGTGCAAGCATTAAAGGCAGGAGCAGATAATGCCAGCCACGGTCCACCCTTGCCACAGTGTGGCTCACCGCTCTGGCGGTGGCCCTTTGGCGTTATAAGGCAGTGTGTCATGTCCTGTGTGTTGCTTCATCCTCTCCTGGCTGTGAAGCTGTTGAGCAGTGCTGTACATGCCTCACAAAACAGGAACCCGTTCACGAAGCTTTTTTCTTTTTCATTGTCCTCGGTGTGCCGGGCATGCAACAGTAGACAAATAGTGTCCTTCTTGGCTATAGGGCGGGTTCTTTGCAGTGGGGGGAAGACAGTGAACGCCAGCATAGATAAATCCAGCCACGTGTCACCCCGTGACAGAGACGTGTTCTGAAAACTTTTGCACTCCCAGCTTCCGTGTCAACAATAAGGGAGCCTCTCCTGGGGTCACGCTGGTCTGTGTGGTCTGGTGCCATTATACAAAGCATACCACTACACGTGTGTCAGGCTCCCGGATGGATTGAGAAGGACAGGAGGGAATGAATGGGTGAGCGTGTGTGTGTGTGTGTGTGTGTGTGTGTGTGTGTGTGTGTGCCACATGTGTGTAGGTACCCACAGAAGCCAGAAGAGGGGTTCATATCTATTGCAGAACGTTTAATTTTGCAAAGATGTGTTGCATTTGTTTATGTTTCAGAATATTTAAACTATGCACAGATGTGTTGCGGGGCTGGAGAGATGGTTCAGAGGTTAAGAGCACTGGCTGCTCCAGAGGTCCCAAGTTCAATTCCCAGCAACCACATGGTGGCTCACAACCATCTGAAATGAGACTGGTGCCCTCTTCTGGCCAGCAGGCATACAGACAGACAGGACATTGTATATATAACAAATAAATAAATCTTAAAATGTTGCGTTTGTTTATGTTGTGAAATATTTGTTTAACTATGCAAAGATGTGTTGCTGTTTTACCTTGTCTGCCTAAGGCACCTGGTTGGTGTAATAAAAGGCTGAATGGTGAGGGAGAAGTTATAAGCGGAACTTCCTGTCAGGAAGAATAAGTAGGAGGAGGAGTTTAGGCTCAGGGAAAGAAGAAAAAGAGATGACAGGAAGATTCCAGGGGGCCAGCCAACCAGACACAGGGGAAGCAGAAAATAGGGCGTACAGAGTGAAAGAAAGGTAAAGTTCCAAGGCAAAGAATAAAAGAATAGAAACAGGTTAAATTAAATTAAGTTAAAAGAGCTGGTGGGACAAGCCTAAGCTAAGGCTGAGCATTCATAATTAACAATAAGTCTCCATGTCTTTATTTGGGAGCTGTTTGGTGGCCCAAAGAAAATGCCAACTCCACAGATGCTCTCTGGCTGGAATTACAGGCAGTTGTGAGCTGCCTGGCACCAGCAGCTCTTACACAGCCTTCTCTCCCTCCCAGCCATGATTTGTAGAAGCATGGCTCCCAAGTAACCATTGATGCTGCTCTTTGTCATGCCTCCAAGGTGGTGCGGGCTCCGCTTCTGGGTAGTCATTCACGTAGCTGTGGTTTCTGTCTTAGCGCTCAACCACTGAGTCCACTCCTGGCTGCTGAGTCAACACACTTTTTTTTTTAAACTCACAGCAAAACCTGCGGAGCAGCTCTGGAGTTAGTCATCACTCATGTCCCTGGTTCAGGTGGCTTCCAAATGAGAAGTCTGGGGCTCCATCCCTGGCATCTCCCTTCCTCAACTCTGGCTGGATGATTGTACTTGGAAACCCTGCTCCCTCCGATGGCAGCCTGCATAGGCCTGAGCCTGGAGTATTCCTGAACAAATTGCTGACCCCCTGGTGCCTCGGGCTCCCTGCCCATAAAACACTGTAGTTGGCGTCTGCCTGATTCAGAGTCTTGATGAAGAGGTGGCAGGAGGAACTGGAACGCTGACCTGCAGTACACACAGGCTTTCCTTCCTCCCACATTAGATTTAGAATTACATTACATTAGAGTGGTAACCACATTCAGTGAGTGGATATGGGCTGGATTAAAAGCCTATAATCCCAGCACTCAGGAAGCCGAGTGTCTTAGTCTCTGTTGTGCTGCTGTGAAGGAACACCGTGACCGAGGCTACTCTTACATTTCACGGGGGGGGCTGTTTACGGCTTCAGAGGTTTAGTCCGTCGTCATCATGATGGGGAGCGTGGGAGTGGGGAGGTGTAGCGCTCGAGAAGTAGCTGAGAGCCAACATCCTGGTCCTCTAGCAGAGTGGGGGATGGCGTGGGCGGGCTGGGCTTGGCATCGGCTTTTGAAATCTCAAAGCCCATCCCCGGTGACACGCTTCCTCCAGCAAGGCCACACCTGGTTATCTTTCCAGTCCTTTCAAACAGCGCCACTCCCTGGTGACTAAGCGTTCAGATGCATGCGCCTATGGGGCCGTTCTTAATTCACACATCACGCTGAGGCAGGAGGATAGCAGCACGCCCAAGGTCAGCCTGAGCTACAGTGTGCCACAGATGCTGCACACAGGTCTTCAAGCTCGCCCTTGCTTCCAGGTGCTACGGATCAAGCAGATGCCACTGGGAGCACAGAGGTCTTTGCTCCCACACATCAACAGGGAAGGCAGGCATGGGAAGCATGCAGGGTTGTCTCCTCCCAGGAAAAGATACATAGCCTGTTCTTCCATAGAGAAGGCTGGAGACCGGAGGTGATTAATAGTCTGGTGATCTGTGTTATCTGAGGGGCCAGTCCGTACCAAGCTCTCACAATGAGACCGGAGGTACGGAAGAGTCTAGATGACCCTTACGTTATCTGTGTATCAAGGGGCTCCCACAAACTCCACAAACAGGACAGGAAGTGGATAACAGTCCAAATGACCTGTACGCTCTCTGTATGACCAAAACCACGGCAGGTCTTCCTTCCCTAGGCCCTTAAGCTAACACAAGTAGCCTAATTCTAGAACCCATCTTCTTGGAAGAAATGGCATGTACATGAGTTGAGTTTCGATGTAACTTATGTCTCCTTGTGCACCGGGGATTGTATTATACCGCTTTTTTTCCCCAAACCGTACTGTGTTTAAATATGTTTACAATAAACCTCTTGGGGTCAGACTCCAGGAGTTTGAACCAACCTGGCTAAGTAAGTCGTGCTGAACTGTGTTTCCTTCTTCCCCTCAAGGTTTGTTTCTCTGTTAGCCGCAACATTTCTAGGGATCCCCACAATGTGCCGCCAGCCCCAGCTGTGCTGTTGTGATTAATTTTAAATTATGGCAGACACATGTCAATGAAGAAACTGACACAGTACCAAATCCCACATTGGTACTTACAATTCTTAGTAGGGGCTAAAGAAATGGCTCGGTTGGTAAAAGCATTTGCCAGCATCCAGAAGAAGCAGCTCACAGCTGCCTCTAACTCCAGGTCCTGGGGATCATGTGGACATAGTCAGCCCAGACACAAGGACAGACAGACACACAATTAAAAATTTATTTTCTTTTTATATCAGTGTTTTACCTGTAGGGATGGCTGTGTGAGGATTTTGGATCCTGGAGTTACAGACAGCTGTGAGCGGCCATGTGGTTGCTGGGAATTGAACTGTGGTCCTCTGGAAGAGCAGTCCGTGCTCTTAACCACTCAGCCATCTCCCCAGACCTAACATTATTTATTTTCAATTTCATATTTGACTTTATGATATATTTTTCTAAAGGCTTCAAAATTACCTATTAAAATTAAAATATAAACTATAATGAATAAATAGCAAATATCTACTATTAAATACTAGAGT